TTATCTCAACCATACTTAGTGTTGGTTCGACCTTGTTTTTGCAACTTGGTCGGAGCGTCAGGGAGACCTTATGGAACGTACCTAGTATCGTGTCCTCTGCCATAGTATTCGTGATTTCCAGCATTGAACCGTTAGTTGGGTACATTCCCAAACGTTTCGCCGGCATCGTCAGTGAGAGACGCCATCATAAGACCAGTGTTACAACTTATCAAAGTGGCAAGTGATAAGTTGTAACTCTGTTTACGATTGAGCTAAAGGAGACTGCGACTAAAGAGAAGGCCACACCATCTTGGTCTTCATATCTACGATCAACAATACTTGCCTACGAAATCACACGCTCATACGCACATGAGCAAAGTAGCAGGACCAATACGAAAGATAAATAACCATACCATTCTATATCTAGTTATGCTTTTAAATTTTATTTTGCTCAATTGAGTCTATAAGATAGGGCCGGATAGCCTTCTTGACCTAGTATTAACGTGAGACATTTACAATAATGAGCTGCGGCTCTGATGATGCCTATCATATGATGGACGAAAGCTCAGCCGGTTTTTACCCGAAACGAGGGGTCTCATGAAGTGTGTCAACAACAGGATTCAATCGTCTTCTGGCGAGATCGATCTTTGAACCTCTTCTTCATGCAATTTCAAACGAAATGAAAATCTCCCGAACAATATAATTCCGAAGTTCTCTACCTCCTAAGTAGCTAGGTGTTTCAAATGACCAATCAGATTATTCGTAATACAAAACGTTAAAGAATAAATTAAATCTAGAAAAAATTACTTACACAGACAAGTCGATGTTCAGGAGCGACAGCAGCCCTCATATGATCCTCGATCACAAGCTGGGAGAATTTGTCATGCTCAGCAAACCATCTAGTTTCTTCCTCTTGGTTTCCCATCATATTTGCGATATCTTTCAACAAAGCTGTGGCCCAAAGTTGAATACCAATATCAGGAAGCTTATTTGCCACTTGAATTGCAGCACTAATCATTCTACTGCCTTCCTAAAAAATAAAAATAAGAATGAAAATAAAATGGCTTACGTCGTAGGAGCGACAGAATATGGGTTCAAAAATTAGAAATTTTCGCTATCTCGGAGGACAAAGCATTTTTGTCAAAATACAGTGAAAGTTTTATTGGGAATTAAATGGAAGAAGGAACCGAAGAGAGTAAAGATGCTCAAAGGCCCTTGATTTCGCTGAATAAGAACTATATTCACAC